GTCATCCCAGCTGACCAGCTAAAGCAAAAAAGCATGTATATTAAACAACTAGACTGTTATATGATGATGTTGGAGGATATAAAGTGGATAATCATTTTAATGATAACAAAGACCTAGTGTATAGGAGAAAACAATGGAAAACCACTCCTAGATTTTACCAAGGAAACCTCATAGACAATAAATAAACCATGGAGTCCTTGGTGCTGAGGTTGGTTGTTTGCTTGCAAACGTTTTGTTATCCAACTAGATAATATCATCAACATATTGGTTTTGTTCCCTGTTTATATACAGTAGCATGCCTGCCAATTTTGATGGAGATGGGATTTTCTCCTGATTCTCCTTTAGGGGATTCAGTTTCCCAATGAAAATTGTGGTTGTGACAATCCATGTGTTGTGAGATTAAGGAGTTATGTGGCTGTTGTTGGGCCCAATAATGTAACCTTGCTGGTAGCACTAAAGCCAGGTAAGGCTACCTTAAGGAGATATTGACAGCAACATATGAAGAAAAAGAAGCAAGGCTAAGATATGAAGAATATGCAAGTCCCATTGTTATTAGTAAAACTATTAAGTCAAAAGGAGGGGGAGGCATGGCTTTGTTTAGCTTAGCAAGTTCAGAGAATCACAGAGTTGGAAGGAACCTTGGAGGTCTTCTAGTCCAACCCCTGCCTAAGGCAGGTGTTCAAAGGAAAGAGTTGTGTGACACCAACCAGTTAGGGCTTATTTAATAAACAATGTTCAAGCAACTCTTGGCTTAGCATTCACCCCTGTGAATGTGGCTAGAGTCCTGCCTATAATGAAGAATTCATGACTGCATGATTGGGAACTTTAGAGCACCCACTCCAAAGAAGCAAATATGATATTGATAGCAGAGTTACTTTGGGATTCACTGCCAAAACACGTGGCACAGTAGGGATGCTTCTACTTCCCTGTGGTGTTTAAGAGTTTCACTTTGTTCTTGTTTGTTCTAATGGCTGTTCATGTTTATTGCACTGCATTCTTATTAGGTTGCTTTATTTTTATACCTTTGCACATTGCTCTGAAATCCAACTAAATGAAATACTTGAGAAATATTTTGAATAAATAAACAAGACATTCCTGGGCCTGAGAAAGTTCTTACCATTGTTTCTGAAAGCCCTAACAATGCTACCTCATGATATGGTACGGTTGTTGGCTGGCCTTGTGAATGCCAGCTATTGGTACAGATAATCCTTGACTTAACCATTCATTTAGTGATCATCCAAAGTTACAATGGCACTAAAAAAGGGACTTATAACCAGTTTTCCTACTTATGACCATTCCGTGGTCATGTGATTATGTGAGGGCTCAGAGGAAAAATGTAGAAACTAGGGAAGTGTGATATATCAGGATATATATATAGGACACTAGGGAAGAAACTAAGGATCTCATTTGGAGATTCTCTTTTTGAGGAATTCTTATCCTAAATGTTCTCCAGAAGTAGCTTTTGGTTATTTTTTTGGCAATTACCTATTGGTGACTGTTTTTAAATGACAGAACATAACTTGGCTAAAATTAAAGAGGTGGAGATTTCATAAAGCCATTTCCCCCTCTTTCTAATAATTCAAGCATAGCTATTTCCCATTACCATGTGAGTCTTTGTGTGATTTATTGGTGATTACTTTTACACAAGAGTAACCAAATTGCCTTTTTGTACTCAGCTGAAATCTCATTGGGAAGCACTAAAGATAGATGACAAAAGCCACAGACTGTGATATAAACTGGTTGCAGGTGAATGGAGTAACGGCGTGGAGAGAGGTATACAGCTCTATAGCTGACTTCATACAATGCGGTAAAACCTAAACCTATGCTAGGGGTGATAGCAGTTGTGTTATTTTATGTAAACTAGATCAACTACATTATGAATTAATATGATGGCCTGGCTTACACAATACAAAGAAAATGGTTGGGTTCCCTCAATACACTGAGCTGTAAATTTTTCAATTCTATTTCAGTCTAGTTTAAGAATAGTGCAAAGCCAGCATGAGAGTCCTGACATATTAAGGAGAAAAAAATCCTGACCACATGAGCATCAGTCATGTCTGAAGGGACAATTATACCACTATCGTTTCCTCATTTACTTAAGGTTTCAAAACTGCCATCTACATCTGCCAATTTCTTAACTCCGTGATGATCACATGCTCTAAAACCTTAGAATTAGACAAGCAAGTCCTTAGGACATAGTTCTGTAACTGATTTACAAATGTTTTGCCCTCAAACTATAATCTGCTGTATTCCAAGCTCCAATATTTCCTTCCTTCCCTCCTCCCTCCCTCCCTCTCTTCCTCCCTCACTCCAACTGTGTGGACAGATCTCTGAGATTATTTTGGCAAGGTTTCAGAAATAGTTTGCCATTGCCTCCTTCCTAGAACTGACAGTGACTCAAAGTTACCCAGATGGCTTCCAGTTTCTAGCCACTACTACACCAAAGTGGTTCTCTTAATATTTTCTTAAGTACCTATTTAAAATGGTAAATCCATTAAATGACTAAATAACTGGAGGCTCCAAACAATACTGCTTAAGAAAGGAAGCTATTATTACAATCAATCCTGTTAAAATTAATTTCTTGTTAGTATTTTAGGAACAGATTTCCTTGTTCTCAGATCTTTCAAGTGATTCACAGCTTTCTACAAAAACAGCTTATGTACACTCCAAAGAGAGTCAAATAGTCCAGTGGCTTTTTCTTATGAGACAGCAATTACAGATTTAATGATATGGTTCTATTACTTCAGAGTTCTTTGAAACTCTTTCCCCCGCCCCCCTCTTAACAATCTGGTTACAGAATTGTTTACCAAATGAAGACTGTAGCTTCTCCACTTTAACAACCAAGGAAAAACTTTGCAGGAATTTTAAAATGAATTTTTAATCACAAATTTATTTGCAGACAGACTTAAAAGTCCTTGAACCACGATATGTGTGGGCTCACTGTGACTTGCATGCCAATCTACAAGCATAATGGATTACAACTTAAAAGCACACAACTATCTTATCGTCTCATAAATCCCACTTCACGTATCACCTAAGTCACAGCTGAAGATGTTTAACAATTGATGTATTATTTTCTTTCCCATATGAATTCCAAGGAATAAATAAATCACTTTTTGCAATGATTTACAGACTTTTTCAATTGATAACCTAGGCAGAAATACTCTGCATGTTTACAGTACTTGGGAGTAATATAGTTTTATTCAGTAAGACCTACTTTTGAGTAAGCATATCTAGAACTATTATACTGATCCAGCATTCCTGAAAAAGCTCATGCTTTGATTGCCAACAGAAATGTATAACAATCAAGAGGGAAGAAGTGTAACATAGTGTAAGCAACTCAAAAGCAAACAATAGTTTGCAAAGGAGCTCAATTTCACAAAAAAATTGCAGAAAAACAGAATTTATTAGCAATCTCCACATAGATATAAGAATCAACCTTCAATATAAATGTGAAGAATTTTTTTTAACACTGGCAGCAATTTGAAACATGCACAACCAGCAGAACTTAGCACACATTGCAACCTGTTGTTATATTATCATCAGTTAGATTTTCAACAGTCACCCATTTACATTACTGTTGGTCTGACTAAAGAATCACTGCAAGATTGCTGGCATGATGTAAGTTGCAAGGGAGCTAAATTTCAAAAATTCCAAAGTTACTTTCCATCTACAGAGTGCTGTACTTTCAGATCCTATGGTGATTCCCACTAATGAATCTTTTAAAAACTACTATATAGCAATAGATTAGTGTCTCTGATCCATGTCAGTTTGGAAACTGTCGCCTAGAGCAAAGTTCCCCAAACTTTTCTGCTTTGTGGCCCAGTAGGAGAGAGAAGAAGGCATGGTTCTATGTGAATTGCTTGCAAGCTGCAGGCAGCTCCATTTGCACAAGCAATGTGCACACACTCACCACTTGTGCAAATGAAGAGTGCATGCACATGCCTGCTGTTCACGCTAGTTGGGATGAGCGCACTCCCGTCACTTCCACTGCCCAATTCCAAATGACTCAAGACCCAGTAGGGCCCAAGGGTTACCCTGTCTAGAGACTGTGCAAGAACTATGGTTTGTCATTATTCGAACTCTAAGAGTCTAAAATTCATCCCCCTCCATCTCATTCCCCCATCCCCACCCCAATCCTGAATGATTCATTCCATCTGTTTCTGGATTTAGGCAAAATCATATTTATTATTTACATTTAACCAACTAAAATCATGGTGTAATTATACTGTAATCAGGGCTTCCTAGATGTAAACCACAGCTGGCTGATTTAGATGATCCAAAAAAGCATGAATTTATCACAAAGTAGGGAAGAAACTATACTGAAAAAGAAGCAGCCTATAAGTCTGAAGTTCCTTAAAGTTGCCACCTAGTCATCTTGAACCCCAGACTTGCTCGGAGAAAAAGAGGGAGTGTCCTCAAAATTGAGGCATTTTAACTGAAAAACATCAATATATAAAAACTAACTTGTTTTTCTATTAATATTCCCTTCTTATAGTGCCCTTCTTCAGGACCTTGCGCAATCAGGGAATATGTCCCCTTCCTTTTCCACTGATGAGTCTGAATAAACATTCCTACCTGACTTCGAATAAAATTTAAGGGTTTATGAGTTCAGTTTGACCTATGGTGACTTCATGAACATATGCATATAGTTTTCTTGGCAGAAACACAGAAGTGACTGTCTTCTCCTGAAATGTTATTTGCTATTTTGCAATAATCTGAGCCCTGGGATTTCCTGGTGGCCTCCCATTTACGTATTCACCAGTCTTGCTTTTCAAGATAAGACAATTCTGGGCAGCTGTTGCCATTAGCTGAACCATCTTTAATTTGGAAACACTCATAATATTTCTTTGAGCCAGTTAGCTAAAGAACATGAGAAAAGGATTTACAAAAATAAAATCTAAATGTGGGTGTTCCAAATCCACTTATTACAAACATATAATAAGTATGTTACTTACCAACAGATAGTAAGAGCTTCCCTTTTTATTTGTCACACCTACCTGCAATTCCTTGTAGCAGCCCACAGACATTAAAAATACTTTTCTTCATAATACTCTGTACACACATGGTGAAAACAGAAACGAATGCAACTGCACAGAGTATCAAGATCCCCACAGCAAGAAAAATAGCAGTAGCTTGCCAAAACCCACTGGCAATCTCACTGAAGTTATCTGCATAGGGGCCACAAGATGTATCAGGCATGGAAGACTGGAGGTGCTCAATTCTGGTGCAACGTCCATAGATCCCCAAGGTGGGACGGTAGGGATCCATTGATCCTGCCCTCCTGCTGTCTGTGTCCTGAAAACTTCCAGGCTGGGCCTTGCCAATCAGCCAATCCGCACTCATGAAGGCTATGAGCTCTGCAAACGCCACAACAATACTCAAGAGTGTCCATAACATTGAGCGACAAGTAACAATGACATGACACATATTGCTATCCAGTGCTTGTGGCCACGTCAATTCAAAGACTAAAATCCCAAGTGGTTAAAAAGAAAAAGGAATATAATATGTAATCCTTTTTTCTGTTCACTTATTCTTCTACTTCAGAAACTGAAGGCACTCTTGGAAGGCGGTAGTCATGCAAGCAGTTTCGTTGTTGACTCTAAACATCTTCTTTCTCTCTTCCTCTTCTTTGACTGCCAAGGTCTGAAGTGTGTACATCTGTGCTAATAGTCATACTGGCATATGACGTTTCAACCCCGAGGACTGCCTCTGGTTTGACACTCCACACCTAAAAGAAAGAAAAGAAAGAAGGTATGGGAGGAGGGATTGTTAGAAGAATTAAAATAAATCCTTCATTTCTGAGAAAACCCATTTTTGTTTTTAGGTAAGATCTAAACAAGCATCTAATAGTTTTTATATCAGCTTGTCAAATACAGTCGGCAGGAATCTTCTGCAATCTTTACCCACAGCAGGGTTATTAATTTCCTATGAGCACTGCCTTACAGAATTGCTACAGATTATAAAACTTTGCAGTGGTCTGCTTTTAAGTTTCACAGATATTCAGAGTACATCCATCCATTCAAATTTCCACCTAAAAAGAATACACTTAGTACCATTTGTGAGTGTAGATTTGGAGAAAAAGGCCAGCCTCAATTATGAATTTTAACCAAGTCTATTACGTAAGATGAACAACTTTCACGATTCTTCTCTAAAGGAAATCCGCAAACTAAAATAAAATTTAAGTAGTCTGAGTAATTTAAAAAGGCTTTCTCTAACCTCAGGGAAATGACGAATCAACTACTCATAAACTATGGATCTGTATGGTCATAACTACTTCTCTGGTTGGCACCTATCTCATCTTTAAAAGTGACACTTCACACAGAAAGACCACTGAAATTTACCTTATTTGGGGCTGGTTCAGAGTAGCCATTTACATTTTATTCTACACGAAACTAAATATGAATGAAACTTCAGAATATTAACACATGTATACACACATAAGACAATATACCTATAATATGGGAAATCTGTTAGGAAAAATTAATATTGCTCAGGAAAGATGACCATGTTTAAATAAATTTACTTATAAGTTTGGAGTACCTCATAGTTTTTTGCTCTTTCAAATTTTTTATTAAACATTTATGTATTAACATTTATGTATTAAGTAGGCATCCTTGAGAAGGCCAGAGAACAATCTAGAAGCAAAAGATACAACTTTGCTGGTGAAGCAGCACTGGAACAGAGAAGTTCCCATAGGTCAGGTGAAAACATCTATGAAATGGTTGAAGGAAATATAAGAATACATATAAAGCTACAGCGTAGCTTAACATTTATCACAAACTGTGTGGAAGAATCTCCATATAAAATCCATGTGCCAAGGTTTAAGATATGGATCCACTGAATTTCTGAAGCCATCATAAACTATCCAAACATGGGCCTACTAGTTGGAAATTCTGAAAGTTTCATTCACATCAAATCCAGAAAACATTAGATTGGAGAAGTCTCTTCTAGCGTCACACAGGTGAACCCAAAGAGGACATTCTTGTGTGGACACAAATTGTTTTAATATTCCTTGCTTAAAAGTAAAGCATTTTTAGGAAGTTGATCATTATTTAATTTTCTGGATTTAAAAGACCACAACTTCTGGCTATTCTCAGACAGTCAGTGAAGAATTAATACAGTTCACAACTTGACTTCTGGCATAGAGGGGGAAACAAGCAGCACTGCTGTCAGGCAGATCAACAGACGTGTGGTGCAAACACACCCTCTGTAAATAATAAAAGCTGGGAGATAACTTATAACTTGCCAAAGCAGCAAATCCTCTCAGCAGGTCAAATTTCTATAATAATTGGGAAGGAAGGAAATACAGTAACTGTCTCTTTTAACTTCACCCATGCCAGAAAGGAGGTGAAGAATTTAACAGGCAGGAAGCAAAATAATTACCATGTTCAAAAGCAGACCGTTATTATTTTGTTAGAACAAAAACACTTGTACGGTTATTGAAATTAGTTTTAAAAAGATAACGGGAAAGAAGTATAAGAAATAGAGCAAATTAAAATAGAAATCACAATACAGTACAGCTGGTTATATTTACAGATCTTCAGACAGAAGCAAAGTTCAAATTTATTTTACAGGGTGTGGAGATCACTTGTAAGATGAAAGGAAAAGCAATAAAAGAATGAGTCATTGCTCATGATATGAATAGTAAATACCAACGCTGCAAAATAAATAAAATAATTAAACTGAAAAACCCTGGATAGTTTATACTTTGAAATTTACAAATTTAAACCCTTAGGTGTGCTGCAATTTTCATAGACGAGGGCTGTCAAACTGGCAGCCTGCGGGCTGGATGCATTCTGTGCAGGCCACACCCACCCCAGCTCCATGGGAAAAGCATCATGTGACGGTAACGTGACACTGCAAGTTTGACATCCGTGTCACAGACTAATTTGTTTTACAAGTGTCAAAAGACCTTTTATTTGCTTCAGTGGGATCTACAAGAGAATGATGAGTTTGGTGGTCCCTGAGATCCAAAAGATTGGCGACCCCTGCTCTAGGACATTCCTTCAAACTCTATGATTATTTTAAAATGTTCCTCCAACCTCTTTTTTCCCTGCAAGCAGCTAACTGAAAAAGTCATGTTGGCACTGGCTGTCCATCTAATGGAGTCAGATTTTATCAGATGTCACGACAAAATGATCGTGTGTTTAATCAATACAGGTACAATTTTTCAAGAATTGACAAAATGAAACAATAATTGAATCATAGAATTGTTTCACTGAAAAAATTATATCCCAGTGCACAAAAGAAATGATGTTTTTCTTTATCTACCTGTCAATAGTTATCAATTCAAAAATACAGATGGAAATTATTTGGAAATGCGATCAAGTGTAACTTTTGTCGACATACCATTTATTTCCTCTTGGAATAAACAGCAAAATATTAAAATATACCAATAATAACTACTTTTGCATTAATAAACATGAGCATACTACAAATAAATCTATGTATTAATAAATATTAAGCATATTACAATTGAATCTAATGATGGGATTTCAGTGGGTTCTTTAAGTATTAGTAAATCCTCTTATAAATGCATCTCTTCAAAAATAAATCTGACTGATAATTGAGTAGAAAATGGTAGCTGAATAGCAATAAACCCAGTTTTAGAACTAAAGCATGCATAACTCATCTGTTTGCCATATGCTGTGATGATAGCTAATTATTGTGTCTGTGTTCAATTTGTCCACTATTCTTGGTAGGGCTTTACATTCACCACATCAGGACCTCTTATTTTCTACATCCTTCTCTTTATATTATAGTGTAGCTTTTCATCTTTTTAAAAATAGACTGCTCTGAACATTTTTCCTATTATTATTTTTTAAATTAAAATACTCATGTTGATTAAATTTATTATTTGATATCAGTACTGGAGCACCCTGAAAATAAAGTTGCATTTATTTCTAAACAAAATTGAGGGTGGGGAAATAATGCACTTTCAATCATTAATTTCATTAACATTCAATGTTAAATTCCAACAAAATCTGTGAAACATACTCAACAAGAATGGAATCAGAAATGGTTAATAAATGGCAATACTTGCATGAAGTCATTAAAGCCAAGGCTTAATCACGAGTTACACAATAAGTTTTCGATTGCTGTGGAAAGAATTACCTATATGTAATTGGGTGGCAATTCTGCTCCCCCCATTTTAAAAAATGTTCCCTACAGTGCAGGTAGCCCTTGACGTACGGCCACAATTGAGCCCACAATTTCTGTTGCTAAGTGAGGCAGTTGTTAATTTTGCTCCATTTTATGACTTTTCTTGCTATAGCTTTTAAGTGAATCACTGCAGTTGTTAAGTTAGTAACATGGTTGTTAAGTGAATCTGGCTTCCCTGTTTACTTGTCAGAAGGTCACAAGAGGTAACCACATGACCCAGCATGCTGCAACTGTCATAAATATGAGCCAGCATAAATATGAGCTAGTTTCCAACTGTCTGAATTTTTGATCACTTAACTGTGGGGATGCTGCAATGGTTGCAATGTGAAAAGCAGTCATGTGACTTGTTTCAGTGTTGTTGTAACTTCAACAGCCACTAAATGAGCCATTGTAAGTTGAAGACTGCCTATATTCATTTGAACTGTAGGATCAGATTGTTTATTAAAATTCTTTTCTCCCTCACTCTCCTAAGTTTTGTGATGGTGCACTTTGAGCGTTCTTTGAATTGAACTGAATTGAATTCTTTATTGTCACTGTACATATATACACAGTATACATACAACAAAATTCACGTAACCCAGAGACCAGACTCAACATGGACACACACATGACAATCCCCAAACACCTCCCGTAGAGCTTTTCTTCCTTTCAGTTTCCATTATATGACTTCTACCATTCGTAAGAGAAAACATGGACTGTGTAATCTGAATCCTTACACTGAAAAGCATCTTGACATGCTCAAGGATATTAGGTCCCAAAATTCTTGAAGAACAAAGTTTTTTTTATTTTCATATTTCGTACACAGATGAAACTATGTTTCTTACTGTTTATTTCATTCTGATTTGCATTTCTCAATTCAGAGTGGATAAAGCAAATGGGCTGGCCATGAGAAGGGCAAGTTTCGAAAAATTGAAACATTTTGGAATGTAAATGTCCCATTTCAAGCTCAAAACAGTTGTTTTGCATTCAAAACAGACTAACACATTCATTCTGTAACTCTTTTGAGTTTTTTTTTAAAAGCTATATTTTGAGTTTAAAACTCTCAGTATTAAGCTCAAAAAGCCTCCAACATCATCAAAACACCCTGTTTTGAATGCAAAGTACATGTGTCAAATGCAAACCAACTGCTTCAAGCTCAGGATGATGGTTTTTAAATTTGAAACAGTTCAAAATTGACGTGTTTTGCACACTCCTGAAAGGCTACTTTCTCCACAGCTCCCAACTCCTATAATATTTGTGCACTGGGATATAATGTTCTCACAACATGCTTAGAAATAAAGGCTGATAGGTATTATGGTGGCATTAGGATTAATAAGGATCCATGGTTGGTCAGTGGTTAGAATGCAGTACTGCAGGCAAACTTTATGGGGTGGTATATAAGTCTACTATAAGTGCTGTTGATAAGTCTATTGTTATTGTTAGGAATAATTCTATCACAGCACCAATTGTTATGTGGCAAATCGCACCATATAGGTGAACCTAATAAAGCAGACTACCCTAAGCAGGCATTTTCCAGATCCACTGAAGACGCATAAGGCCTACGGAAACTGAACACATCATCATAAG